TATGATTAATATCGTCCATATTATCTAAAAGCTCTAAATACGGTATCATTTCAACAACCTCATTGTTGAGGTATGCTATTTTAGCAAGTAGATTTTCTTCCATATCTGCTTTATGAGATTCATAAGCTGCAGCATTTTTTTCAAAAATAGGCTTTATATCTATAAGCCAGTTAACGGTTCTGGTATTTGATGCTACGTGTTCTTCCGTGAGTGAAGTCATCTCAAGGAGGCTGGAAATAATGTTAATTTGTGCCAAAATTCTTTCCTTTAATGCTTCAACTAGAACCGTTTTTGCGTGTAAAATATAAACTCCTTGTTCAATTAATTCTACCGCATTACTGGGCTCCTTAAGAGCTTTTGCTTTAATTTCTTCAAACGCAGCACATATGCTATCGTTTTCTTTAATATGAGCGCTGATTATACCTGCTATTAAATCATTCACAAACTCCAAAGCTTTTTGTTTCAAACCTAATACCATTCTTAGTTGACAGACAACAGCACTGTTAAAGTATTCATTTTCCACAATAGCTGTGATTTCAGAATCTATACCTTGAAAATATTTAATTTTATCCCGACATATGTCAAATTTTTCTTCGGCTTCAATAAATTTCAGAAGGGCTTCTTTGGCTGGAGCACCGTACAGCATGCTGTATTCTTGGCGTAGCTTTTCTAAATATAGTAGAAGTGGTTCGAATACCATATCTAATTGTTTTTGAAGTCTGTCGTGGCCGTCTCTATGAAGCCAATCGTTATATTGAACTGGCAAGGCATCAAAATTATATGGAATTTTAAGGTATTCCTCGATAGGCATAAGTCTTTGTGATATGTGGCATATTGTGTTGACAATATTGTGGAAAACGTCGTAAACTTCTTGAAGTGAGGGATCATAGAAAAATTCTCCGTCAAAATCTAAATGTAAATTCAAAATGATAACTGATTCTGGATCTTTAAGAGCTTCTATAATAGCTTCTATAGATCTTCGCATTAGTTCTTGAATTTGCATCGATATCATTTTGGTTGCACATCTCACAAAGTCCGGTATTTTCTTTTGACGCATTCCCCGCAGACATCTAGGATTCTTAAGCCAATGAACAAGGATGCCATACCAAGTGCTTGATACAAGATAATCAGCCCGTCTGATTTCTTCTAATACTTGAGCAAAAAAATCCTTTAACTTTAAAGGACCTTTGGCCCTATACTTCGCTAAATTAATAATGTTTTTAGGAAAAATTCTCTCTGACGACTCCAGTACCAATCTTATGAAAGGATGTAATATTAAAGCACCATCAATTAGCTTTTTTCTGTATTTCAGCATTTTTTCATAGTTTTCTGTAATGCCATTGAATTTAAAATATGGTTCTTGATACCTAATTCTGGAAACTCCTGGTTCATCTCTAATGATTGTTTTAACAGCCAGATCATGGAGATTTCGGTTCCACTCAACTTTACTCTCGTTGATCAATTCGTCCATTAAATTCGGGAACGCGTGACGAAGTTTGGCTGGTACGAGACCACAAATTTTTCGTTCCCACTCTTTGGACATTGGTGGAGGTTGAATCTTTTGTGCGCATTCTCGCAACACTGCGATGTGGCGTGATTGCGATATTTCTAACTGATCACGTTCCCGGCGCTCAGGAGGGGGTCGGGATACTTCTACCTTTCTTTCGGTAGCTTTGTCCTCGAGGATCTTACGAAAGGTTTTTTGCTTTTCCTGAAATCGACAAGAAGCAAAAAAAGATATAGGTGTATCAGCATTTAGATACATAGGTGATAAAAAAAATCTGGGGATTATAATGGGTACCTAGTCTTTCCTTTTGGACACATTTCTGCTTACAGCTTTTGGTGTAATAGACTTTCAAAAACAACTGTTGAATGCCGAGCAGTAGATCTCGTGTGGGATTGTCAGGTCACGCAAAGTAGGTATTACTATATGAAACAGCAAGTAATAACGAATCGGCTTTTGCTGTGTGTAGAAAAGAGAATTTTACATTAAGAGACTGTTTCACAATGACCTACATGAAGCATTTCCTTCATGATAGTAATTGATATGAACTATGTGTCAAATAAGTTTATTCGGAATTTAGTAAAAAAAAATAGTGAAATATCATAAAAGCACTTCGGGGCATAAAAAACATGAAAAGTACCTTGATATGTACCTAATAATACTTATCATAAGTAGTCTTTTCTGGCAAGATTCCGCAGCAGGATAGAGTAGTAGTATCTAATAGTACTGATAATAGAAATAGATGTACCTACCTTGATCCTGTTATACGGCGGCAGAGGAACGAATGGTAGCTTGTCCAGTTGTTGTACGTTTGGCACGGGCCGCATAATAGGCACACGGCACCCATTTTTCGTTTGCAGTAGCTTCCTTAACTCCCGTTCGTCCATTCTCAGTTTCTAAAGGAACAAAACAAATATTTCTAACAAAATATTGTTTTATCAAATAAAAACTTGCAACAAAAACATTTTGATTGAGTTCACAATGTATTGATGTCACATTTGAATCAATTTGAATATGGAACTCTATAACATAGTCATGGCAACGGCGTTACTTAGAGATGAAAGCATAGATTGTAAACAAAAAACAGTACCAACTTTATATTGTTTTTATGAATAGATGTTTATCGGAATCTCCATGCCTAAACCAGGCGAGAAAAGTCTGAAATAAATACGAAAATAATTAGATATGTTATGGATTTTTTTTTGTTAAACCACCCACTATAAGATGTAGATTTTAAATCATATCTTTTTTATGGCATCAGTTGGTAAATAAACTTACGGATTACCGGATTACCTGGTGGTAAACAATCTGCGCCGCCGATGGAGACATGTAACACTAGAGAAAATAGGAGAGTGTAGCCGGGCTTTTGGGATAAGGATTCTGGAGATCATAGGATTGGGAAGGGTTGTCGGAAGGTAAGGTAGTTGAGGGATCAGCGTCTGCTTTTGTAAGCTTGTAACAAATGGGTGCAAATACCTATTACTGATGAGAAGTAGGTATATCTATAATATAAAAATGAATCGCGAAATGTGTTGGTAAGCGCATAACTCAACAACGCCCGGAGCAAGTTTGCTAATTCTTTTTTTGTTATGTTCGTTATTTTAAGCAGAAGGTTCTTACGAGAGAAAACTTTAGAAAAGTAAAGTACCCGTGCGAAGCAGGGGCAGTCTGCTAGTACTATATACAATCCGCCTTGAACATGAATGATGATTATTTCCTCCTTCACTTATAGGCTCATGATAATAATATTGAACCATTATAACTTGTTTATTTATTTATTTTTTAAAGTAAAATCAAAAAGATACTCTGAGAGGATTCAAAACTGATTGATATTCCGCCAAAAAACTACTTTCTAACTTTACAAGTGACATTGATTTTTGTGTTTTTGTAGAAATAATTTATATTCTTATATAGAGGTAAAATTTGTAAGTTTTTGTATGTAGGGGGTAATCTTTGGAACCGCTGATCGGATTACAAAAATTCTTTCACTGCTAGATAGCTACAATGTTCCTGAGTGCTGTAGGCTATAAAACATCACGCTACGATCAAATGAAGTTGAGTAGCGGGTGAAACCGCGCGAGAGTAGCTAGTTAACGTATAAATGTAATTAAAAATGAAACTCCAATGAACACGTAATGTGAATTATATTCGCACAAACAATGAACAGATGCACAAATATTTTATGTTATATGGATCCATATATACACCGTAGTTTTTATAAAACTTGTCCTTATTATCAATATTTACATTACATCACAATCACTTATATGATTTTTGTTTTCATAAAAATAGTAGTAACATACATAGATACACGTTAATTAGTAATATCATTGCCTTTGTATTCCTGAACCTAAATCAGATCGTAGTCAAGTACATAATATTTCGTAGTAATTTAGCATCCATAATTAGGCATTGTTTATTGAACGAAATTCATATGTGAGTAATTTTATTTTTCGATTAATGTATCGATATGGAATATGTACTCCAATCGGGGGCCGTGTTTTTAATAATGCGTTCTAATTGCTTCTCCAATGTTGCCATTTGCAAAATACCTAATTGGATGAGACTGGCAACTTTGATATTCACTTTTATAAAATAGGCTCACGCTATTTGCCATGAAACTATGATGATGTAGATGCATTACTAAACAAGTGTAAAGCTAATCTAAAATAATGGAATTTAATGGAATTTCTAGGAAGATAAGATTCCCACGACTTTTTCAGTCTTGATTCGATGTTAGTGTACATACACATAATTTAGGTATAAAAATCAAAATACATGGCACTACTATGAGGATCTAAGTACTATACCGTGTAGGAACATTAAAATTATCATATTTTCAAAAGTAAAACGTACAAAAATATTCTTTATTTAATATAAATTTGATTGAACCAAAATGGCATATTTGTACATGTACATTTATATTTTTATTTCGCCATTGATTAGTAAAGCGACGTGCTCAATTCCTTATGCGTTGAATTATTTGCATCTTCGTACTAGTTAGATATAATATACTATATCTCACAATATACAAATACCTCATTTCAATACAACAAAAAATAATCTATTCAAATTATGGCCACACTATGCATAGCAAATATACTATGATAGCAACACCGTCCCAAGTTCCCAACTACAAGTCTTGCCCTCAAAAAAGCAAAAATATCGATATAAAGTCTTTATACAATATTAATTAGTTATAAGGTATATAATACAATAAGCATTTATAAAAACTAAAATAATTGTGATTTAATATAGGTAAGGGAAGTAGGTACATTTTATACGTAATTTTCAAAATTCTAAATTTATCTTAGGTAGGTACTTAATACGTGCCATGTTACATTAATATATTATAATATTTATTATTTATACACCGCGTTAACTACCCAGCATGCGGTCCAAATATGAATAGGACTAGCTTCACTTGCTACCAACTTGACAAGAACAAATTTTGGTAAAGTAGCGTTTCACTAAAGTATCGCAAAAGACGTATTTATAAGAATAAAGGAGGTTCCTTTTACAAGAACTGCTTTGGGAAAGTTGGTCTAACGCCTTACGAAATATCACAAATAGCTGAAGGTCACTCCTATTTGGACTGCACACTTCTACAGGACTTGCCATACCTCCATTTAATATACATACATATATATACAAACACAATTTTACAAGTATCGATTACAATTCGAGAGAATGGAAATTAATTTTTAATCGATTAGCGATAATTTGTTCAAAAATCAAATATCGATCGGTAATCGATGAAATTCACGTAAGACTGACGGTTGTGTTGCCAGTTGATATTGGCATGGCAAGTCAGTAGTGAAGATATATTCTAAGAGATTACAATTTTAAGCCCGACATAGACTGGGCTTCCTGTAAGGTCATACACTGGCTCCCAATAGCCGCTCGTCCGCTGAATCTCTCTCCTCTTCGGATCCTGACTTTTCTTTTTTAATGGACTGATACCTCACCTGGAAGGAGATATTACATAAGTAGTTACACAACAAGAAAAAAGTATGTGCCTGATATGTTTCAGTCTGAGCTTCTTTATAGCAAAAAGTATGTAATGTAGCAACCAGTGTGGGCACGAATGGGTCTGCTCGACCAGAACCACGGCCTCGCAGAAAACCGCCGTAAAACAACCACAGCGTTGTTTTTCGTCGTGTGAGTGAGATGACTGGAGACCTAATCCTTCTCCTCCCCATACCTCCTCACTCCCCAAATGAGCGGCAACACACTAGTAACTACTCCGTTGTTGTGGATGTCCATGGGTGGCGCTAATTGCTTAACATCAGGTAATCCATCTGCTTGATTGTCTTCCTATCACATTAAAAAAACAAATAGTGGGCAACCCTCGGTCAGTTAATTTTAGATCAGGGAAACGGTCTGTGTAATGATATTAACTAAAATTTTAATGATGGAAACCAAAATACTAGATATCCAGTTCCATAGTACGGGTATCGAGTTTAAGGCTGTTATATTTCAGCAGCCGCATACTGAGCTTTCTGGCTAACTGCAGTTAACAGTACTTAGTTGTAGATCGACTGCCTGCCGTATGGACTGGCCGACGTATCTTGGTGAGTCTGAAGTAAGCCGATTAGCTGCGCAGTACACAATTTCGTTCCTAATAGTTCCATTGCGCAGACAAACGGCTAACTTCAGACTCGCCAAGATACGTCGGCCGCATTGTAGCTGCATTGCTATGCGTCAGGTAAGAGCGTTATTGTGACGTGTAATGTGAAATTATTTAAGTACAATGAATCAATTGGGAATCAATTGTCTAAATATACTGTTATTTGATTTTTACACATCTTCGTGCTTAAATATGAGTGTGTAACTTAATGATATACCAAAGAATTGAATTGTGAAACTGATTCAAAAAGAGTATTCATACTCATTCTTTTTAATAGGAATCTTCACTTTGGAGCGAGCAAATAGCTTCACTAAAGAACAGAACGAGAGGTAGACACTTTTGTTTGACGTTACTAGGTATAGAAAAATGGCCGTAGTGGTTGGTCTATTTAAATAAATTATTTAATTTAGTACCCTACTACACATATACATACCTTGGTCTTTATCTTCGAGCTTACTCCTCGAGGGTGATACATGAGGAAGTTGTCTGTCACCCAAAATATTAATATCTGAAACAATTTTATAAAATTACAATGAATATACGTGATTTTAATGAGAACAAATTGCGTCTCAGCTGGTTATTACAATTTATCTATTACCTACTTTAATCAGTTTTCTTATTAAAGAGATATAATTAACTAATTAACCTACATGTATAATGTCGTATGAATTTATGTAGAAATCATTAAACACAAATAGCAGTTTTAATTTTATTAAGGTAAAGTCTATTTTAAGCTTAACTTATGACGACGTCTCAATGTTGTGTGGCTGACATAATATTATAGCTTTAATGTTCACAGATTTAAGGACTAAATTCTTTAATTAAGAAGAGACCTAACAAAAACCTAGTGTATCAACCCGGCGCCAATTGCTTACCATCAAGGGATCATTATGCTCGTTTGCATATGCATTTCAATGCAATAAGAATAAGAAAAACTTATTGAAGACTGTGGACTAGCCGCAGGTACAATTCAAAGGCGATATAACATTCAACGTGCTAACGCTAAATGTTACTATATTTGTCATACTAGCTAATCTCGCGCGGTTTCACCCGCTGCTCAGCTCCATTTGATCGTAGCGTAACATTGTAGCTATCTATCAGTGAAAGAATTTTGGAAATCCGACCAGCGGTACCAAAGATTACCCCCTACATACAGACTTACAAATTTTACCTCTTTATAGAATTGCTAGTCTATACTTAATATTTAAGTATAGACTAGCAATTCTATGGGCGTAGTACCTGGAAGACCGAGGTTAATTCAGTCTTTTATATATAACATATTCCTGAACTAGATCGATTTATCGCCACCGTATACAAAATTTCATGAAAATCAAAAATTCAGACATACTTATGTGTATTTATAGGTACACAAATAATGCCTCGTTTAAAGGTATAAGATAAACTCCAATGGAATGTTACAGAACATCGTGACGCGTATAAAAGCGACTTCAATCTAGAATGACCATATTAGTGTCGAATACCGAGGTTGTTGCCCTTATACAGATAACGATGTTACCTATTTAAATAAGAACACTTTTTTGTATCGCATTCGTATTAACGTTATCATCGGTTTGTTGTTCGACGTGCGTCGGTATTCAATAATGATTAAGACAATTTTGGCTTCGACTGTACTCTTTAGATAGTAAAGCTAAAAAAAATGATTCAAGTTCATATCGAAATTTTTTACGGCATTGCGCGGCAAACAAGCACTCTTGTCTTCGTGGTGGGCAATCGGCGTCGCCCATAAACATTCGCGAACTAGAGTTACAAGTGTGTTGGCGGGTTTTTGGGGAGAGATAAATTGGGATTTAGGAATAAGAGGTAGCCAGATGAGCCTTAGATGACATCATTTCTATGCAGCATTGTTTTACCCAGGTTTTGGAAAGAGACAAACCAATAAAATTGTTTTGAAGTATTCTGTGGTCAAATATCAACAAATAGTTCTTACGGAACTTCTTTGTGCGTTTGTGCCTGGGAAATACAAATGTTGTTTAACGTGGTGCACTAATCTTTAGAATAGTAGGTATAGTTCAAACAAATTTATTTAGCATTTAGCAGTTTTCAAACATTAAAGCGTCCTATCAATTTATTTTAATCACTACTTAAATAATGTTCCCTAGAAGTAGATATAACGCAAATCTTAGGTACTCGCGCTTTTAACTTCTTTTTTTATATAACATATAAACGAACCGTAGGAACCAATAATTAAAAATCCATATCAAATGCAATGTTTCAAGGTTTCATGTTGGCGCCGACTTCAACTGCGTGAAAATGGAGAATAGAACCAAAAAGTGCTACTATATTTGTTTCGTGTTTCATTAATTAGGAGTTGGAGTGCTAAGAATTCTGGAACTATCTAGGGTATGTTTTGGTTTTCAAGGAAATTGATGTGAGTTTCAGAATGCACGTGTACAGGATTGACGGGCACACGCAATAGAGTACGCAGCCTCGGCCTGGCAGAGGAAAAGCAATAGGGTGTTTTTTTGTCAGGAAGATCATTACACTCCCGCCTCTCCTTTTGCGAAAGAAGATATTTAATGACTGTTCCCATTTAAAAAAAGTTGTAGGTATGTGTACAATTAAGTAATTACCTAGACTAATTTAACGCCTAATTCCGTTTGACTTCCTCTCTTAATTAGTAACAAAAGACGCAGGTCCGTATTAAAAAGTAATAAAGTAATTATAAACAGTTGAATATTTGTTACCAATACAAGTAAGAACACACAAAAGGCGTAGCAAGAAATAATTACCTATGCAGGTAAGTAAATATAACTACTAAAATTCAGTTTGTTTTCATTCGACGTTTACTGATAAATATACTACGGGTACATTACAAACTTGAAAATTTATCAAGAAACGTCGAATTGTTTGAACAAGTGTTATAAAAGTCAACTGCACGTCACGCACATATTGCATTTAGGTCCCAAGTACCTAGCTAACTACAAACTTTTACAATGACCACGATAAAGAAACAAATAGTAGAGCAATTTGTTTTTACTACGAGTAAATTTTCCTGTTTTATTTGAGACTTTGGGCATTAGTCCGCCATTGTATGTATTAGGTATCTACCTACATAAAGTGTAAATAAATAAATAAATTAAGAAGTATACTGAAGAAGTATAATATGTAGGGATGGAGCTATTATAGCAATGTAATAACAATTACCAAGTCGATATCAGCTGTTTGTAAATACCGTAAGATTAGAATTTGTAGGTATGTAACAAAGTTAATTACGGCGAAGGAAAACATCGTAAGGAAACCTGGAGTTATAATTCACCTTGGGCAAGTATGATGATTAAGGCTCAAACCACGTCCGTGTGAAGATGTCTTTGCTCAGCAGTGGGCACTTATTAGCTGATGATGTGATATGTGTAAGTTACATGATATTATACTCAGTGAATAAGGACTTTTTCATAGGTTTATGTACACATAAGTACCCAGTGTACATCTCTTGACTACTCATGATAATTAATTTAGTTTCGTTTGGGTCTGCCCTCATTACTCTGGTTGTTGGAGATGACTATGATGACACACTACCGATCAATTCCCAATCTCAGAATACAGAACAAACCAGAAGGCGTCATCGCGCTTCAAACTAAAACAACTAAAACCATTCTTAACTAGAATAGTATGAAATTCCTACGATTAGTCAATTTTGGCACGTGGCATGTCGTGACGTATTTACGAGTATCAATTTTAATTTCATTATGCCGTCTTGTGTTATTACTACGAGTAAAAATGCGACTGGAATTACGAAAAAAGTGGATAAGATTACATTTCATCTGCAAGCATCGACTGCAATAGTATATTTAATTAATTATTTAATTTTTTTTATCGATTTATTTTTCTATGAAAATGATGCGGCCATTTTGTGAGTGTTGTCATTTTTGGTGAAAATTTTACCCACTTATTTATTTGTTGTGGGTTATGTTTTGTCCATTACGGAGCCTATGTCATATTAGTTTCCCTGACAAAAAAATAAATTTAAATCATACAAAGGGCACGGTTAGATTAATTTTGGAAACCATCTAGCCAGAGCATAGTTTGCTCAATTCACTTTGAAGAGATATATTTAAGACAAAGGTGGTTTGAAAACAGCATATCCTACTACGATATATCTATACTAATTATAATGCTGAAGAGTTTGTTTGTTTGTTTGCTAGAATGCGCTAATCTCAGGAACTAAGTAAAGTAAGTAGACTTCTAATCTTTAGTTCCGAGTCTAAAGACAATACATATAAAAAACTAAACCAGCAAAAGGGAACGCAATAAAACCTTTGTACTTATTGAAGCTTTATTTTATTTGTTGTGTATAGTAGGTGTAACTAAAATTAACAAATCCAGAAATCGTCAACTTTTATGATACCTCTATGAAATGTGTGAACAACTAGTCTGTTGCATTTATCGTAAGTTTACCTATTTTGTTGGGTTTACTCGTATCTTTCCCTCCTGTTGTAAAATTACCCCAAACCAAGGGAATTGTTCCACTGTCGGCAACACTACGCGGGTGGGAAGTGCGGCTGGCGGGGGGATTGAAGTATTGTTTTTGGACACATTTGACGACATGTAATTATGAGTGAACGCGGCTTCTGGTTTGTTCTGTATTCTGAGTTCCCAATATACCTAAAATGTTACAGTTTTACCTAATACCTACATAATAAGCGATGTAAGAATAATAACTTGAAACAGGGAACATTGCCACATAACATACATTGTTTATAGTTGTATTATCTATTATCGTGTGCTATACACTCGTTCATAATAATAAAATAAAAATAAGTGTAGGAGAGCCATGTTTCGGCACGAATGGGTCGGCTCGACCGGAGTGATACCACTGCCTCACAGAAAACCGGCGTGAAAAACCACAGCGTTATGTTTCGCCATGTGAGTGAGGTTACCGGAGGCCCAATTCTTCCCCTCCCCTACTCCCTAAATACCCAAAACCCTATTCCCCAAAAGGTCAGCAACGGACTCGTAACTCCTCCTTTGATGCGGGTGTCCGTGAGGTCCGCTTATTGCTTACCATCAGATAATGTGTCAGCTCATTGGCCAAAATCACAAAAAAATATTTTTAGGTACATATAATACTCACATTAACAAAGAAGGGTATGATGAGCATGACGACAGCCAGTTCTAATCGAGGGTCGGATACTGGCGACAGGCGTAAGGTGGAGAGGACGGCGACCACTGGCGGTAGTCGGAGTACCAGCGCCAGAACAGACTTCGCGAAGGTAGCGAGGGCTGCATACAATATGCATTGGCATATCCATGCGGAGCACATCGGCGGTTTACCTGTACAACGTACAAGTTGCCTTAAAATTTGCGCGACCTTTTTCATATAAACTCAAACTGGTATGGTTAAATACATTAGGAATAAACATGAATTATTTGAATGTTATATATGTATTATTGCTGCTTTATTGCACTGTATGCTAGTAGGCCTAAAAATTGGTCTTAAAACAATTTTTTACTTTTATATGGCCTAGAAAACATTGTGTCCTACAAAACACTCGAAATCGTATTTAAACACGACAGTTTTTTGTTTATGTGGTGTTTAATAAAGTATATAATGTTCTTATATATAAAAATGTATTACTATTTGTTAGTCTCGCTGAAGCTCGAGAATGGATGGTCTAATTTCGGTCATTTTAGGTTTGAAATATTCATGAAAGTCCAGGAAAAATTCAGAAAAGATCATTTGCCTAGTTAGTAAGTAAATAAAGAGAACAAATTGGCTCTTTAATTATCTTGTGACAGTGTTGTTGTTTTGGGTTTTCTTTGATTTTATATGAAATTAATTTACATTTCTGAGATATTTCAATACATTTAAATAGTAAGAGTTGAGATAATTCATTGAAACTTACCATATTCACCAAAGTTGATAAGTGGTATGTCATAAGTCCTTGCACAGTACTGGGCTAGTCTGATACCAGCCCATATTATTAGCAGGCCTAGCGTGGAATCCAACATAAAGTTGACTATATACCTGTTAAGACAATTACATCAACTTACACAATGCATGTATAAACTTAAAAGAATGAAAGTCAGTAACACTTCATAGGCTTCAGCATACATGGGATTTTGATACTTATTCACATTTGTAAAGTTTTATAATTGATTGATAGTTTCTTGGGATTATAATGTAATTATGTGTGAATCATGGAAGTATTTATTTAATACTATGTGTGTCTCTCATCACATCCTTGATTTGACCTTGGGTGATTAATTAACATAAAAGTATAAAATTATTGTTTACATTATTTACCAGATGTTAAAACATATATTACAACTTAACTACCTTACTGCAACATGTTTGCAAATGATAGCATTCACAATAGAGTACCTACAAGTAGAGGCATAGACAGCAAAAAACCCTTTTTTTTTTTACACAAAAGGTTTTTATACTTTATTATTGGCCATAGTTACCATGTGCATGGATTCCCAGTGAGATGTGGTGACAGCCATACATTGGCTGCATGGATGATCAGTGCTCCCAAACCTTGCTTGGAGGTATCATAGAACCAAATAAGCCATGGTCTTCTTGCATACCGGGGCTCACAGAACCTTTTACCTTTAAACAAAATATATACTTAATCATTATCTACACAGATCTCAAATTTAAATATCAGTTATATATAGATAAGCTAATATAGTGCAGTCAGCAGATAAATTGTTATCTTTCATTAAGTTCATAAACTAATATTTGAGATAACTAATCTCTATATATAAATATATTATAATATTTGATCAAATATCAATTCAATTTATGTTGTAGTTATGGATATTTTCTTGGCCGCAGCAAATACGGAGAAACTAATTGAGTAATAGACATTGGTACGCAATACCGCGGTATCTTTATCCTACTACCTTGAACTCCGGCCTCTGTTTCACAACTCCTTACCAATTAAACAAGTAAACGCCAATACTGCCAACAGGAACTGCATGAACCATCCATAGTTATCCGTGAGAGCATCTTTTGAGCAATGTAGCTCGGACCAATAAATATAATCAGAGCTGTTATTCATTTTTCATTTCTTACGAGTTTAAAAATCACAATTAAGTTTTTTAGCACTTTCACTAGCACTATCTCATAATAATTCAAATTTATTTTAAATCAAAAATAAATGATATATAAAAAATAACAGACACACACTTTGTAACAAATAAAATTACTTTTCGCGAATAGTCGCGAAATAATTTAATCGCATTTATTCCAATCACACATATTTGACAAATTTGACAATTGACTTGACATGACCGACATGACTGTTAAACTGTTTTTTATTTTTTTACATGTGAGACAAAGTATTTACTTGTTACAGTTACTAGCATAAATAATTAAACAGGAAGATATTCTCGCATATTGCCTCAACCAAGATTTTCATTTAAATTGGTATTTAATAAAAAAAAAAGTTAGATTGACTTACATTCATTTTTATTATAACATAAATTACAATTGATTCAGGACCGTGGTATTAAAAATAATTCATGTAACGGAGCGCCCGTTGTTAACTACACAATTTCTATATCGATTAACAAAATGGTAGAATTTAACGTAGTATGGTAATACATAGAGAATAATCTACCAAACATCTTTTTTTACCCATTGCCGCCATTTTTTTGTGGTTTTCCTGTTTCACAGTTTATTTGGTTATTCATCACGAAACAATTAGAAAACTATCGTTTCATGTGCAATAATTTGTGCAGAAGATATTAATTGTTACAATACATCCACGTGAGGTACGTACATTTTATATTTGTATTAACAGGTGATAATTTCTCGAGTCACGTCATGTTATCGATTTATTTGCCACCGGCGTAGAATTTATTATTAAAAATGTTATTTGCAAAGACATTTTCTTAGTTTTGTTTAATTTAAAGATGCTATGTTACTGATATAGTGTTTAAATTACATTATATTAATTGTTTACTTTGTGAATTGGGTTATCATGTTCTTGTTAACTACGAAACCTACAATAGTATTTCAATCTAAATCTAATAATATACAAGTTCTACTGACGTTCGTGTTTACTACGATGTTGAAAACGTAGTTGCCGTCTATCTTCATATATTTATCACATAAACACCTACTTACGTAAAAATAGAAGCAATTTTTTGGAACATAACACTAGACCTATAATTAATTTTGCATTTATTTCATCTTACGGAACAAGGTAGTACTGTAGTATGTCCTTTATTAAACATTGATTCAATCTTATTTCTAAAGCTAAAACAGAAGTTCAGCCTGCTCATTAAATTTGAATAGAATGCAATTGAACACCATGACCACCAACAAATGGGCCATCTACAGGTGTCATTTGTTTTGTCTTCGATGTACCTTAATGGTCATGTTAATGGTTTGTTAAACAGATGCCATCTTATTTTAAATGTCGAAATAGTTATTTAGGTATATAAAACATGTTCAAACCAAATCTAAAAAACCCAAGTATGACAAATAAAACTTGGATTAACTAAAAAAATACAGTATAATTAAATGTAGCGACAAAATTGATTGTCATCATCAAAGTAACATTTTATTTAGAAAAGTTCCATTACCTCTTTTTTCCACTAATCAAAAACAGTATCTATTGTTCTAACTTTTGCTTCTCTTTGACAATGGGTTGCATTGGTGAGAATTTAAATTGTTCAAATACATATTATTCATTATTTTTGATATTATTAGTAGTATAAAGTTTTATCCTAGCTTACTCAATTTATAAATGGCATAAAGATATGCCTCTGCCATGTCAAGTATAATGCAGTTTTTACTTAATATTTCACAATAGTACGAGAAGTAGCAACATCAAAAAGACAAATATTTCCGGTAGGCCAGTTTTAACTTATATGATGTCTCTCCCTCCCCTGGATGACATATCTGGCTATCTGGCCATCTGTCTAGATATCTGGCTGGCAGTAGTGGGTGCCTTCATCAGTGTGTGTCGTACCTATACAAGTAAAATATTAAAATTTGCTGACATCTTTGAATAGTTTATTTACTAATTTTTACTCTAAGCTGTCAAATGTTAATTGTATCTACAAACAACATTTTGTGAATCATTTCATAAATACATTAACACAGGTTTGCAAAGTTGCCGCATTTGCTTAAATTAAAATGGTAACTTAAAAAGTGATGGTACCTTTTTATCTTAATACTTTAGTAGGTAGTTTCTTTTTAGATATGCTACACCAATTGAAAAATTTCTTAAATAATAACTTCTGAAACAAACAAAAGCTCAAATGTAAAAGCTAAAGCAACTATTAGGCCTTTATGTCTCATTCTGAATAAAAACAGTTTTCTTTCTATTATTATTAACATGGACCTAGTGATAGGTGAAGTTTATACCATGTACAGTACTAAACAGAAATCTCACCAATCAAAAAATTTACCAAGCACAAACATGAGGCAGCTACTGTTAACGGTTGAAGAGTTGCCTCGACTGTCTTTTGCTTCCATCATTAAGTCAACTCCAGACCTTCATTAAATTGCAGAGCTTAAATATAATTAATCTAGGTTTAATAAAATAAAAAAAAAGCTTGTTCATATTTTGCAATGAACTAAACATCCATACATCATCAGCCTATAATTGCCTACTGCTGAGCAAAAGCCTCTTCCCAAACAGAAAAGGTTTGAACATTAATTACCAAGCTTGTTCAAGGCGATTTAAAATTAATAATTAGAAATTATAAGTCCATGTTTCCTCACGATGTTTTCCTATACCATATGCTAGTGGTGTCTAAATAATCATAGAAAGCAAATAATAACCTGGAAAAAGTTACAGTACTTGCCAGATTTCGAAACCCAATGTGAAAAGCGGGCGTCTTAACCTCCGGGCCACCACAACCACAATGAATGAACTTCACTCTGATATTAATCATGATATGGGGCAAAGTTTTACCACACACCACTGACCACTATACCAGTCAAAATTCCAAACTTGCTTACAGTAACCAATTATTTTGTCATGAAATCCGTGCCGTGTTGTAAATAATTTTGACGTTGTTCGTGTTTTCTGGTTTTTTAAAAAAAATCAGGACTCACTGAAATACAACATTTGTTGAAGATTTAGGTTAGCTATAGGTCCAGCCGTTAGCGAGTTTTAGCAAGACTAACGAACAAAGATAGTTTTTATAAAATAATAATATAATATATAGGTAAAGATATTCTATTGTTTGGGAGACAACGAGGAAGGAATTAAATTCGGAACCCTAAAAAAGAAAAGTGAAACAATCAAAATTCTAACCCAATGCAGAAACATTAATCAATTACTTAACTCCGAAACTATCTAAACCGGCAAATTTCGTTCCGCCTCAAAATAAACTAAAGTTTTCTGACCTGTTAAATCTTTCCTTGACTTCTACGAATATTTCAAGATTAACATTGGCCGAATCGGTCTAGCCATTCTCGAGATTTATTGAGACGGCGACGAGCATATTCTTTTATGTATAAGAATAAAATTTCATTATCATCAGTCGGAAAACGTCCACTGCTGGACAAAGGCCTCCCCCTTAGCTCTTCACGTCGAACGACAAGTTGCCACCTGCATCATCTGCATATCTATTCCTTTCGTTCCTCCGCGACTCTGACGATGTCGTCGGTCCACCTAGCGGGAGGCTTGCCCACACTACGTTTTCCGGTCCTTGGTCGCCACTCTAGCACTTTTCGGGCCTTAAAATTAAATTTACTGGCCTGAATGAATGCATCTTAATAAAATGTATATGCTTCAGGTGCATAAACAATAACAAGCTGCCACAATCATAAATTTAATTAATTTTATTCAACCCGTAACCCCAATTTTATTTTAAAAAATAACATATGTGAGTTGGCAAAATGATTTTTCCATTGATGACATACCTATCCATACTTCCATAGCGAAATAAAAACTGAAAACTAATATTGTACTTTTATATGATAACGTTATCTTGAGGCCACAGTTATATAAATGCGTCAGTGCTAATTCAGTAATACAAACGTAATAAAAACTGCCAGCAAATATACCCCTACGTTAATGATTGGTCTCCTTTGCCTTTATATAAAGTAACTCTTTCTAACAGCAGTGCTTAATTAATGACTGATTGACTCTCGCCCCTAAAACGTAGCGTGGGCTGAGGCAATCCATCACAAAGTCAAACATCTATGAAATCTCCCAAGTAATCTATCTCGGGAAAAGCGATAGATCCACCGGGGTTCCACGTTATATATCCGTTGAACTTCTAAATATAATTCGTTGTACAAAAATCTTTGGAAGATAACCAACTGATTGGCGAAAATAAAAACAAAAAAAAATATTTAATAATTTTATTCAATAACCTATTCGCGCTGTTTGCCCACGACGGAACATTAAATAGAGCCATGTTATTTATTGCCTCGCGTGCGTACACCGGACTTATGACAGCTTTTACGGTGCCTACCATTTAATTTGACCGTACATGCAATATTGGAGAAAACGGGAATCTAATTGTCGCCTCATCCCTTTGTCGAGGTGGTGCGGCGGCGTCGCGTCGCCACCACATAGCCATTGCGGGGTGGCGCCGATAGCCACCGGAATCGAAAGTAGAACGTAATAATTATTGGTGGTGGGACCGCCTAGGCTGGGGGCCAGTGGTCGCGGTTCCCGCGGTTGGACCGTCAACAAACCGTCGCGCGGCAACTGCTCATGACATATGCATGAGAGCGGCACGGACAACGCCGCCGCTTAAATATACAAGGACGGACCGACGGGGAAATTACTAGAGAGGCAAATACATACAAGATGTCTCCCGCCCGACTGCGCTGCCCTAGCGTGCGGCACGCCCACGAAACCTCTCCAATTACACTCACGAAACGTTCGCCCGATACCTTTCTTACTATTCTAGACTATTTTTACTTCGTAACCACCACGTCGTCTTCATAAGTCATGAAGACAACCCCATTACACCGTTAAATGCATCATTAGATATTCCTTTGGCTTTATAGACCTGCACGCAAATATCCAAAAGGGTACTTCTTTAAGGGGTATAGTAGTTTACATATTAAATGCAACTGTCTTAGATCAACTTGAATAGAAAATTGAAGCGCCATTGTTATTTTTAATTGAAAATAACTTAGTTGACATTTAAGAATACTACAACTTTATTTTTTTTAAATACTATTTGCATTGTCCCCCACTCAGTACCAGTCTACCTACATATAGAAATTAATTATTAAATATTAAATACATAATTAATTAAATTTAAATTAAAAATTAAAAAAAAACCGACACAAAAAAGTAAGCTCTACCTTTAAAAGTATATAATACCAAAAAAACTAAATTGAAATCGTTTCATCCGTTCAGGAGCTATGATGCCACAGACACAGACAGACACGTCAAACTTATAACAAACCTCTTTTAGCGCCGGGTGTTTAAAAAAATCTTCACTAATAAAAACACGCAACTAGATTTCTCTTCTTTTTTGAAAACATGTATAGATCTGAGTGTAACATAAAATTCTCAATTAAATATACTCCAGTAAGCTATAATAACACGAAAATAGTATGTTTTTTTTTTCTTACAAATTACAGGGAAACTGAAAAATTAAAAAAATAGCTGCAAAATTATTTCAGGGTTAGTTCTCATCTAGACTGCAACACATTTATTTTCTTGATTAAATAGTAGAGATAATTTCAAAATTAAGGTCCCGAATGGTAAATTAGGTAGGTCTTTAATTGAACTCTACTAATATGTGTATTATACAAAAATCACAGATTTTAAAACTCCCTCAGT